ATCCCATCCCATCCCATCCCATCCCATCCCATCCCATCCCATCCCATCCCATCCCATCCCATCCCATCCCATCCCATCCCATCCCATCCCATCCCATCCCATCCCATCCCATCCCATCCCATCCCATCCCATCCCATCCCATCCCATCCCATCCCATCCCATCCCATCCCATCCCATCCCATCCCATCCCATCCCTACCTGCCGGCCTTGGTCCCGGAAAAACTCGCCGGTGTTTTCGATGACCTGCTCATCGGACAGCTGGGAGTAGGGCTGCTCCCGGCAGAGCGTGAAGGTCTCCCACAATGTCACACCAAACGCCCACACATCACTGGCCGTTGTGAACTTGCCCTGGCAGGAGGGAACAGAGCGGGGTCGGGCATGGTCATTACTCCATCCTGCTCCATAAGCACCCTACATGCCTGGTGTTCAAATCCTCTTTCTGCATGCATCAGCTTCCAGATCTGGGCCCAGAGAGGGGCTTGGTCCTGCAGACCTGGTCTCTGCCCAGGGCCAGAGCCTGGTGAGCTCTGGGTCCAGCTTGCAGCAACTGCTATGAAGGCTGGGGCTTAGCAGCTCCCTGCAAAGGTAAAAAGTAACCCTGCTCCTTCTTCCAGGTCTGACCATGGCCAGGAGAATATGTCAAGCGTCCTGCTCAAAGGCTGGGCACCAGGACACCAAAGATCACTGTAGTCCCCCCATCCTACTTCGAAAAGCTGCTACCCTTCCTGCTTTCTGCATGCTTCACCCTAAAGCTGGGTTCCAGGGAGAAGAGACTTCCCCATCCACTCTGCATGCTCCAACCCGAGGAAAAGAGGCTGTGAGCAGCTCCAGGGCCATGTCAGTGGCCACCAGAGGAACCCCACGTACCAGCAGGATGCTCTCCCAGGACATCCAGCGGATGGGGAGCACTGCCCGCCCCTGGATGCGGTAGTAGTCCCCGCTGTAGAGATTCCTGCTCATGCCGAAGTCGGCTATCTTGATGGTGTACTGCTTGCCCACCAGGCAGTTGCGTGTGGCCAGGTCTCGGTGCACGAAGTTGAGGGAGGAGAGGTACTTCATGCCGGAGGCAATCTGGGTGGCCATGAACCGCAGGTCACTGTAGCTGCCGGGGAGGGGAACAAGGGAGGAGAACTGAGGTGACGGGAAGGAGAGCAGACAGGGAGTACACAGCCCTGAGTAGGGCATCCCATGACCAAGCAGGGTGCCTGGAGCAGGCAGCCCTGTCTGTCCCAGGTGGTGCTACCTGATGGTGGGTGTATTGCCAGCGAGGGGGGTGCCTGCCTGCTGGCGGGACAGGAACTGGTTGAGGTCTCCGTTCTCCATGTACTCGGTGATCATGCACAGCGGGTCGTCCGTGATGCACACAGCCAGCAGCCGGATGATGTTGGGGTCTTTCAACCGCGACATGATCTTGATTTCCTTCAGAAAATCATTCCTTTCCGGAACAGAAACCACACGGATCGGATAGACAGACCCAGAGGGGCACAGAGATGTGCACAGACCAGTCGAGAGTGTCACCCGTCCACCCAAGCCTTGTAGGGGATCTGTGGGTCCCCTCCCCTGGGACTGGGGGCCATGAAGGGGAGCTCAGTGTTGATCCACATACAGCTGTGGGGTGGACTTGGTGGGTAGATGGGATGTTGGGGAGCTGGTTAGGACCAGCAAGGACCAACAGTCCTGAATCGCTGTAGCCCAGCATCCCCAGACAGCTCAGACATGTGGTCCTCACAGCTGCACTGAGAAGCTGGCCACTGGGGACAGGAGACGCTTTCCAAGCATCCCTGCTCTCCTGGAGAGGACTCTATGTAGGGGACGATGCTAGGGCATGTGCACCCCCTGGCCCGGTACCTGGCGTTCTTGTTGGCATCCGCTCGCAGCATCTTCACAGCCACCAGCACAGGACGGTTGGAGCTAGTGTCCAAGCCTTCCAGGGCAAAGTCCTTGCCTGTGAACTTCTCCATCCCCTCCACTTCGCAGAGATGAACCTGGAGGGGGAAAAGAGGCAGCCATTATCCTCATTAACTGTCAGCCTCCCCCGGCCCCACAAACCAGAAAGAGCCTTAGAATCGTAGAATCATAGAATGATTTGGGTTGGAAGGGATCTTAAAGATCATCTAGTTCCAACCCCACTTCCATGGGCAGGGACACCCTCCACTACACCTCCTGGATTGCTTACACCCTGCTGTGTTGTCTCTCCAACAGATATTGGGGTGGTCAAAGTCCCTCATGAGGAACCAGGGCTTGTGAACATGGGGCTGCTCCTGTCTGTCTGTAGAGGGCCTCGGTCTTCTTGGTAGGATGGCCTGTAGCAGTCACTCACTGTAACTCCACCTATCCCCGGCCTCCCTTTAATCCTGACCCATAAACTCATGGTCAGCTCCTCATCCATCCCCAGGCAGAGCTCCATTCGCTCCAGCTGGTCATTGACATCGAGGGCGACACCCTCTCCTTGTCTCCCCTGCCTGTCCTTTCTGAAGAGTCTGTATCTTTCATTCCAACACTCCAGTCACAGGATCCATCCTACCATGTCTCCATGATGCCAATAAGATCATGGCCCTGCAGACACATGCGTTTCTCTTACTTCTCTTGTTTGCTCCCCATGCTACGTGTATTTGCATAGAAGCACTTAAGTTGGGCACTAGATGAAGTTGACTTACTGGCTAGAGTGGCTGGTGTTCTTTTGTGCTGCACTCCAGGTGCTCTCCTGCTGACCTGCGACCCTTCTCCAGGCTCTGGGCATGTATTGTTGCCACTAGCATCAAACTGATAGGAGTGGGATGGATTGAAGTTCTCCTCCCCTAGTAACTTTAGTTTAAAACCCTCCTCATGAGCTTGGCAAGCATTAGACTGAAGATGCTCTCCCCTTTCATAGATGGACCCCATCAGCTCCCAGTAGACCTTCTCAAAGTGAGTTGCATGGTCTAAGTAACCAAATCCCTGGCTGCAGCCCCAGACCTGTAGCCATTTGTTCACTCACCAGATTTGACTGGTCCCTTCAAACCCCTTTTCTTTGAACAAGAGGATTGAAGAAAAAAAAAATAGATTTGCCCGAGTCCTGCTCAGAGCAGGACTGGCTCCCACTCACCTCCCCAAACTGGCCTTCTCCCAGCTTCTCCTTGAAGGTCAGCAGCTTCCTGGGGAACTCTTCAACAGCCACATCCTTGCCAGAGAGCAGGTCCATGGTGAGGGCCGGAACTGAGTAGGTGTTGCCACCCGTCACACCCTGCAGGTTCACGATGTCGGCCTCGGCATAGTGGGGGACACCCTCGGGGACGTTGGCCTGGGATGGCTTCGCAGGGCCACTGCAGCCTGTGGGAGGACAGTGGGGACAGCCCTGCCTGGGTGTCCTGTCCTGTACCCTCTGCTCCCTGGTGCCTGCTCACACTCCAGTCACCAGCTTCTCCATCCCCATCCTCCCCAGAGTTCTGGCGCTGCCCAGCACAGTTGGGCTCCTGCAGACATTGCAGCCTGCTCTGCTCCTTCCACACCACCGACAAATGCATCAACCCAACCCCAAGCACTAGATGAGCAGGGATCAGTGCCCGACCTCCAGATGACCAAGGAAGAGATGCCAGAGCATCCCAAGGATGGTGGTGGAGACACAGCTCAGCCTGGTGGTGGACACCTGTAATGGCTCTCAGCCCCAGGCTTTGTGTGACTTCAGAGCGGGATGCGTGGGAGCTTATGTGACCTCCTCCCCACCCTTCTGTGCCAAAATGTTTGGAGATAGGCCAAAATCAGGGGCTGGGGAGAGGGGACCACAGCAGGCTCGATGTGAGGTAGATGGCTCTAAGCAAGCAGGGTGTCCCAGCTCTCACCCGTGTCCTCCTCTCCCGGGGTGAACTCGGGCAGCTTGCGGATCAGGCGGGAGGGCTCCTGGTAGTCGGGTCCTAGGGGGAATATGCGGTCGTAGGTGGAGCTGGACTCCTGCTCGCTGGAGGAGGAGGAGCGGTTGTGGTTGAACATGCTGGATTCGCTGGGCAAGGAGAGGCTGACGGTCATTTCATCATCCAGCATCCTCCGTGAGGCCTATGAGAGGTGGGGCAAGGGAGGAGAGAGCTGGCACAGGGGGTCCCACAGCACTGGCAGGATGGGGTCTCCTGCACTCCATGGCACTGTGGCCATGCCCAGCCCCAAGCCCTCCTCTCTGGTGCACTGTCCCAGGGCTGCAGCACCCACCTGGGGAAGATGTTTGTCCTCATGTCCCCCCCTTCTATTGTCTGCCTCTATGAAGAAGAGTTTGGCTCCATCACCTCTGTGACTCCCTTGGGTTAGCTGGGGGCTGCAGTGAGATCCCTTTGGGCTCCTCTTCCCCAGCCCAGTTTTAGGACAGAGGAATGGACAAGCAGGGTGGTCCCAAAGTCACTACCCTGCCCAGCTAAATCCCCTTGCTTGGGAGATGGGTACAACTCACAACCTTCCCAAGGAAGGGAAGGGAGCATCATCCCTCTCATGCAGTCTGCTTTCCCCATGCTGCGCTCCCAGAAGACCCTTCCCAGGATGAGCTCAGTGCCCTGAGGCACCTCTCCAGCCACCCCTCATTTGCCCACCTTCTCCAGCATCTTCTGCCAGAACTGCCGCCACAGTATGATGACAATGATGGCCACCAGGATGAAGATGATTGCCACCAGGCACCCGATCAGGATACGCGTGTTGCTGTCGTCTACCTTGAGTGTGGGATCTAGCAGGAGAAGGGGATAGCAAGAGCAAGTCATGCTTGAGTGCGGGGAGACCCCCGTCCCTTTCCTCCATCGGATTAGGCAGAGCCTCCCAGAGAATCTCCCCACCCAGCCCTGCTTGATGTACTTTTTGATGCCTTACCATAAGTGGTGGGGACCACGGACACCTCAGGGGGAGCCATTGAGTTGTTGTACATGGCTGCATCTGGCAATGGAGAAGAGGAGAGCATCAGGGTGGGTGGTGTGGGTGCCCCACAGCCCCACTCCCTCCTTGAAACCCCCCTCCAGGAGGGTCTGGTCCCTGTGGGCCTCATGGTGGCAGGTACCCGACTGGAAGGTGATCTCGCTGAACATCATCCAGGCGTCGGCGAAGTAGTACTGGCACTTGATGGCGCTGGCCATGCGGTGGAGCAGGGGCACGGTGACAAAGCGGGCGCTGGGGTTCACGTCATCCAGCACCAGCACTGAGGAGACGGCGCTGGGCTCCCACTCGCTGGTGTCGGAGCGGAAGTAGCACTGCACCTCCTTGAAGATCTTCACCCCTTTGGCGAACATGTTGTTGCAATGGACCTGTGGGGCAGCCCGTCAGCGCAGCCACGGTGGGGACAGGGGTGGGGGGACGGGGCAGGGGGCCTGCAGACCTTCATGGCAGTGAAGTTCCTGATGCGGTCGAACTCGAAGGTGATCTCCACGTAGCCGCCGGTGGTGCTCTCGTTGCGCCAGCCAACATAGTCATAGCCCGGCCAGACGTGGTACTCGTGGGTCTGCGTGAAGTCGTCCAGCCCTGACACCCCGTCCGTCAGCTGGCCCAGGCCCTCCGTCATGCTGGCACGTGCGAGGGGGGAAAGGGAGCGTGACTCTTGCCAACCCCACAAACCTGCCACCACCCAGCAACCACCCCCCAGCAGCTCCTCGCAGCCCCTGGGAAATTCAGGATAGGCTTTTGTTCTTCTCCATGTTCTCTCTGGAAAAGGCTGCGGGATGCTGAAGTGCAGTGCAGTTAGCATAAATCCAAAAGAAGGGCTGGGGGTTCTTTCTCCCATCACGCTGTCCCCATCATGACATGCAGCCTCCCACAGCTGGTCATGTACCCCCTGCTTCAGGGACACCCCAAGTATTTGCTCTGCTGAGGAGCAGCAAACACAGGGAAGAAACACCCCCATCCTCTCCTGCCCAGTACATCACCCAGACGTGCATTAGCCCTCAGGGTCCTCACCTGTACCCAAAAGCCCCATCGTACACTGAGTCGTTCAGGTAGATGATGGTGCCCCCAGGAAGGACAAGCTGCTGCCCGGCCGGCGCATTGTAGGACACCAGCCCATCTGCAGGGAGAGGAAGGTGAGCAGCTGCCCATCCCAGACACCCCACTGCTGGTGACCCCGGTGGGACAGATAGCCCCCAGTGGGATGGACAGCCCCCTGGGCAGGCACTGGAGACACGGGGAAGGGCACAGGACCACACCACCCACCCAGCCAGACGCAGCCATACAGCTCCACGCGCAGACAGACGTTCATGGAGTGGTCAGTGACGGGGATGAAGCGGACGAAACGCGCAATGAGGGGCGGCTCCAGGTCCTTGAGGACGATGTCGTAAGGGTTGGTGTTTCCATCCAGCACCTGGGGAGAGACAAGTGTGGTGGGGACAGGCAGGCACAGACCCTCACCTGCCACCCATTACAGCCCCCACCCACTTCCTCACCTGCTTCCCATGCCGATTCCTCCAGGAGATCCATCGGGTACCATCCCGGCTGTAGTTGATCTTATACATGGGGGCAAACTCATTGCCGTGCCCCCCAGCGTGCCGCCCCTGGGTGCCCACCAGTGTGATGAAGTGGAGAGCGTGCAGGTCGATCTGCAGAAACTCCTTCAGGTCGTCAGGCTCCACTGGGATCTCGGGGCACCAGGCACCATCTCCATCCTCCGAGTCCAATCTGAGAAACCAGAGTGGAGAAGACATTTGCAGGTGACAAAAGCTGGCCCCATACCCCCGTATGGAAGCCCAGACCCTGCTGTGGCTGTCACAAGGGGGTTCCCATGCCCACCCTTCCAGCTGCCCCTGCACTCACCGTCCATACTTGGCAGCTGTGGACTCGGACCACTGGCTGGAGGCCGAGATGTCCTCATCGGGAATGTGCCCGCCCGACATTCCCAAGGGGTACCGGCACACCGCTGCAACGAGACCGGTGGGGCGCTGAGCAGGCATCCCTTCTCCCCTGCCCATCTGAGATTTGTGCTGAAATACAGCACAAATGGGGCACATCCACCATGCCACAGGCACTGCAGCCCGGGCAGCTCAGGCATAGCAGCACTCTCCATCACGCTGGCTTACAGAGGGAGGACAAAGCTTGGTGGGATGGTCTTGCAAGGGCAGGCACCTGCCTGAGCAAATGGAGCCACTGGCCAGAAGCAGATGCCAGCCCAGCTCAAAGCAAAGCCAGGAGCAAGAGGAGGCAGCACTCCAAGGGCTGCTGGACGTACCCAGTCCCCGTCCCTGGAGATGCCTTCAGCCTTGCTGGCAAACATTTCAGCTGCGGTGGAGGGAGAGCCCGTGGGCTGGCACCACTGTCCCCACGCTCCTCGTTCCGGGGGCATTCCAGAGGCCGCTCACCCAAAAAACCCACCCGCAGCAACCTGCTCTCACCTGTGCCACCCCACTGCTCCCCACACCTGCTTGGGGGAACAAGGGACAAAGGTGGGCTCTCTACCCCCAAGCTGGCCCCGTGGCTCCCCTCGCCAGCCCCAGCTGCCAGTGGAAAAGTACCCGGGGTGGCGTGTGGGCTGCGTCCCCGAGTGGCAGCTGGCTCCCCCCGGCACCGCATCCACGCTGCTTCCCAGGAGTTATTTTTTCACGCCCTGCTGCCAGGAGCGCTGCTGAAAGGCCGGCTTGTTTGGCCGTGTTTACCGTCTGGCCGCCAGCTCCAGCCCACAGCGCTCCCTCCGCACGCCGCCCCGAGCAAACACCCGCACCGAGGTGGCAGGGCCCAGGCCAGGATGCAGTCCCGGGGACACCTCCTGCCCGCAGGACATCCAGCTGGCCCGGTGCTGCGGTGGCGAGGAGGTGCTGCCCAGCAGCCAGCTCCCATCCCCGGGGCCCTGCACCACAGGGACCATCTCCTGCATTGGGCAGAAGGATGGGCACATCTTCACCATGAGCGTTGGCACAGTGGGGAGCGTCTCTTCTTTCTCTCCAGCTTGTGATGCTCTGCAGAGTGCAGCTCCCACTGAATTCCCATTTAACTCTTCCTGAACATGGAGCCAGGCCAGCTCCTTTGCCCTACGTAATAACCATCCTGGCCACTCAATGCCAACACTGCCAGCCCTGGATGGCTGCAGAAGAAACAGGATTCCTCCCCGAAGCACCATGCAACCTTCAGGGAACACCCTGCAACCTTCAGGGATCACCCTGCAAGCTCTTCCCCCAGATGGAAGAGGACTTTGAAGGGACTTGTTACAGGAATGCCCAGGGGAAACCCTGAGGCTCTGGAGGAGCCCGGGATCCGAGTCCATCCCTGCAGCGCGGGAGGGGGCTGACCCCTGTGGAAAAAGCCATTTAAACACACTTCTCTCCCCGACATCCGGCGCAGTGTTGTGGTTTCTGAGCAGAAGCCAGGCACCTAGTCAAGCTGCTTTCCTAAAGCCAACCTTGGTTTGATGTGAAACCACCAAAGAAAGCACATCCCGGCGGCAGCAAACAATACCCCGGCGCCTTGCCTCATGCGTGCCTCAGCCTCAAAACCGAGCGGGCTCCATGAGCCCCCATGGAGAAGGGCCCCACTCAGAACCCTGGGCTCCAGCTGCAGGGCTTTGCCCATACCCCAGCGCCAGCCCACCCATGCCAGGAGAGACAGCCGTGGCACACGGAGGATGCTTTCTGGATCACTAGCAGTGGCCAAGCCGCATGCAGGACAGAAGAACGCCCAGGCAGGCGTGGGCTTGGGGGGCCATCACACACTGCTCCTAGAGCTGGGAAAGTCCTAGATGGTAGGGATGATGTGAGCCCAAGCTCGGATGCCCTGGCAGGAGCACAGCCCAGGGAAACACACCTCACGGCTCTTGCAGCCACCTGGTCCCCATCTCACTTACCTGGGTTGACCTGGGCTCTCACGGCCCGCAGGACCTCCAGCAGCAGCAGCGGCAGCAGCAGCAGGGCTGGTCTAGGGGTGGCCAGCATGTCGGCAGTCCTGCAGAGACACAGCAAGGACCAAAATGTCAGTCCTGCTTGGAGCGACCAGCCGAGGACAGGAGGGCTTCCCCTGCACGAGACCATGTGTCCCCCTGCGTAGCCTCAGAGGAGGAGCAGAGCCCCAAACCTTCACATCTGTGAAGGTGGTCAAACAGGTCCTGGTGTCCCATCCCTTCCACCACCACCACCACCTCCCGGGGGCCACAACATGGTGGTGCCACACCAATGCAGCAGGTGACGTGGCCTTGCCACATGCCTGGAGCTGGCCACATGAAACGGTCAGGGGACACACAAAAACGCCCCCGGCCTCTGCCCGGGGCCGGCACCATCCGGCTCCACCAGCAGGCAGAAAGGCTCCAGCTGGGCCGCTCGCCCTTGGATGGCTTTGAAAGCAAGATGTTGCACAACCCCATCATATAACAAAATAATAGCACGTTGCAACGGGCGGTTTCCCTGCCTTCTGGCTCGGGAGAGATAATATCAGATAATCGCCTGAGATTTACAGCATATTTGTGACAGTTCTCTATGGCAGAGGGGATCTTGGGGACATCTTGACAGGCTGAGGGAGTTGGGAGTGTTCAGCCTGGAGAAGAGAAGGCTCTGGGGAGACTCTTTAGCAGCCTTCCAGTACCTGAAGGGGGCCTAAAGGAGGGATGGGGAGGGACTCCTTATCAGGGAGTGGAGTGATGGGACAAGATGTAACGGTTTCAAATTGGAAGACAGTAGATTTAGATTGGAAGACAGTAGATTTAGATTTAGATCTCAGGAAGAAATTCTTTACTGTGAGAGTGGTGAGGCACTGGAACAGGTTGCCCAGGGAAGTTGTGGATGCCCCATCCCTGGAGGTGTTCAAGGCCAGGCTGGATGTGGCTTTGAGCAACCTGCTCTAGTAGGAGGTGTCCCTGCCCATGGCAGGAGGGTTGGAACTAGATGATCTTTAAGGTCCCTTCCAACCCAAACCATTCTATGATTCTATGACATGGGTGATACAGAAAGGCGTGACAGAAGGCATGAGAGCCAGCTTGCACCCGCTGCCTCTAGGAGAGTGTCAAATGGGGCTGGAGAGGGACTGGGATCTTGGCAATGGGGCTTGGACTGGCCAGTGATGGTGGGGGCTCCTCAGGGCAGGGTGCAGCCCATTGTGCAAGGAAATCCCTGGGACGTGCCTGCCCTCCAAGTCGGTGGTGTCACCACGGCCACTTTGCACGGCGGCAGCCATCGCCCTGGTTCTGGCCAGCCCGCAGCTGCCAGGAACCCCCAGCTCCCAAACAGTTCCTGCTGTGCCCACGCACCACTGGGGAACCATGGCAGGGCATGGCACCATGCTGAGTGATGCACCAGGGACACCCCCAAACGTTACCAGCCCTGCCTCAGGATCCCTGGGCTCCACCTCCCCTTGTTTGCCAAGGGGACATTTGTCCTCCTGGGACAGCCCTTCACAGAAGCACTGGATGAGATTAGTCCTCTTTTTTTTTTTTTAAAGAAGGCCATTTTAATCTAGTTTACACGTTAACCTTTGCAGGAATAACTAACTAACCTGGGGGTTAAAGGGACTATAACTCCTGGCCAAAAGCAACCCGGCTGCACCTGAGTGTGGGGTAAATCCCAGCAAAGTCCCACATACCAGGGAAGTCTGGGTTGGTCTAGCAGGTCCCTGAGCTGTCCCAACACCAGTGACCCCACAGGTGGATGCCTGGTTGCATCCCTGCATCCACCCCACTTGGGGCCTGCAGTCTTGTCCACACCACTAAGAGAAAGCCCAAACCCACCCTGACCCAGCTGCCATGTGGCAGATGTCCCCATCCTGCAGAGCCCAGCTGGGAGGTGCTGGCTATGGCCCTGCTTGCTGGGAAAACTGGGGCTTGGCACGGCAGGAGCGAGGCAGGCTTGCTGTGACCATCCCCACCCAAGGGGACTGCTAAGTCCCCAAGGGGACTGTCACCCGCACCCTCCTACCCTGCACTCTCAGCGGTGTGCTACGGGGTTCCCCAGGGCTCTCTGCTAAACACCACCCTACCACGAACTCCTTTACCAATAAACACCTGGAATTAGGGGGATTTTTTGCCCTTTTTTTTTCTAATTTTTTTTTTTTTTTAAAAGCACATACGTGGTCACTGTGGTTTTTTTCTCTTCCCAGCTCAGCTGCAACTGGGAATTTCAACTGCATCACTGAGAGGGGTGCATGAGGCTCCTATGTCTGATAATGGCCAGTTCCCCCAACATTAAAATCTCAATTTCCTTCTGCATTCCAAAAAATATCCAGGGATATTTTTTCCCACTATTCTTTCAGGCTGAGTAAACTCTTTAAGCATCAGGATACCAGATGCCGTAATGTCCCGCAGGGAACGCATTTACATTTAGTCTAATACAGGGAAATTGTCCCCCCACAGCCACTGTGAAGTCCTCGTTGCTCTTTGGGGGAGCGGGGCTGGGGGACAGCAGGAAGACTGACTCAGGCAGCGAGGCTGGGGGTTAAGGGACGCGTGGTCAAACTGGCCAAGCAGTATTGGCAACCCAGCTGGAAATCATTTTTGTTCCACCAGCCCTGCAAAAGGGACGGCTTTGCGACGTTTTGTCTGAAAATGTTTGCCGAAAATTTTCAGTCACTGGAAATTTTTAGTGCAGAGTTTTTGGAGCTCCTCTCTGGCACAGCCTGGGCTTGGGAGCTTCCCTCAGCCACTGCTTTTTTATTTTCCACCCTTCTTATTCTACTGAAACCACCAGGGAAAATGAGGGGGGAAAAAAATGAAGTCCACATTTGTTTAGAGACAAGCCCCACCTGAGCGACGGTCCCTCTCGCCCCCAGCCCATGCTGGCTGGTTAAGTCACCAGCTCGCTGCCCAGGTGGGCTCTACTGTCCTCACCAGCACTGGAGGAGCATCATCTGTGGGGAAGGAGCTGGATGGCAGCTGCCCACTCCCCCCCCATGCACACCAGGGCCTGGATGGTGGTTTCCCTGCGCTCCCGTGGTGGAGCCCCCATCCTCACACAGCACCGGGGGCCTCCCCTCCTGCTGGGATGGCGGGTGGGTGGGACATGCCGAGGCCACGCTGGAGGAAACGTCCCCAAGAAGCTTCCCAGAACCCTAGACCCTGACCCATGGCGTGCAGTGTTTTGGTAAGGGGGTTCAGGACCCCCCACCCCAGGTGGGCACTACAGCCCCCAGCATGCCGTGCCGCCGGCGCAGCCTCGGCGGGAAGGCAGTGCAGCATGCCGGGACCCGTAGTCCTCCTCCCTTCCAAAAATGCCATTTTAGACCTTCTCTGGGCTGGATGCAGCCCCATTTTCTGCAGCGGCAAGCGCCTCCCCGGCCGTAGGCTGGCCAGCTCAGCCAGGGGCATCGCAGCCCTACAGGGTGCGAGGAGCTGCCGGCACATCCCCGTGGCTGCCAGCTGCCCCGGAGAGACCTGCCAGCAGGACAACCCACGGCCGTGGGACCTGGGGACGTGGTGCTGTGGGTGCTGCAGCCAGCAAGCACTCCCTGTCAGCCAAAAACCCGCAAGCCCTCCCTCCCTGCCCCGTGCCACGGTGCACAGCGTCACCCTGCCACGGGGCACGGCATGGCCCCCGCCACGGCGCGGGGCTGGGGTGCCACAAGTAGATCCCCAGCACCAGAACGGGGGGCAGGATGCTGAGGAGCACCAGAGGGGTGGCCCCGTGTCCCCTCCCCGCTGTGACCTGGTGCCTGGCTGGAGGACCCTGGGGACAGCAGGGCCGCCGGCTCTGCCAACAGGCACACGGCGGGAGCTGAGGAGGAACACCAGCAAACACTGGTTTGGCACGAGGCACGGGGGGAAAACGCTGGTGGTGTGGGGAAAGAAATGGAGAGAAGGGGGCAAATGTCACCTCTCCAGGTGGGGACGCTGCCCTCCTGCTGCCCCAGCCCCTTCCCGGGCAAACCCGCACCCCAGCTCCTCTGCCAGGGCACCGCCACGGAGCACGGCTGAGCCTGCATCCCCCCAAAATCCCAATCCTAGGGGAAAAGGGGTCAAATATCTCCCCACGCACCCGAGAGCAACTCACCGGAGCGGGGAGGTGGTGACGGGCGGGCTCCTCGCCCCTCGCCCGGGCCGGGGGAGCCAGGCGAGGAGCGAACTTCCCCGGGCTGATGCAAGATGCCTCTGGGAGCGCGTTCGCATTCTGCGGATTCCTGGGAGCCGGCCAGAAATCCCACAATCCTACATCTTGCACATTTGGTTTCAATTAGGGAGCGGAGAGGGGGGAGCCAGTCACCAATCCGGGCTGGCTTTTCGGCGGAGGTTATTTTCCTCGGCCCGAGGGAATGTGCGCAAAGCTATAATTTACAGCAAAACCCATTCATAGCTCGAGAGGAAAAAAAATAAAAAAAAAAATAAAATAAAAAACCTAAAATCCCCTTGGCCGACGACGGAACTTAAAGCAATAGGCGGCGTTTTGCTTTCCGGTGCTCGCCCCCACGGCTGCGGGATGGCACGCGTGTCCGGGACCCTCCTCCTGCACTGTGGGGTGCAGGGGCTAGGTGGGACACCCCAAAAATGCAGGTGATGGGGGTGCTCCAGGAGCCCCCATCGCTGCCCCAGAGGGTCCCACACGGGCTGCCCCTCTCCGGGCCCCTGGTGGGAAGGGTGCCGGGCTCCTGAGCGGGCACGCGTGGCCAGGACACCGGCCGGAGAGTTGACCTGCCCCGGCACGTGGCACGGAAGAAGTGCCCCAGCTCCCTGAGCTGCAGGCTGGGCTCATGGTTTTACATCATTTCCAGGCACTGGCTTGGCACCGTGGCCACCAGCAACGCAACGCAGCAGGGAGGAAAAATAATAATCAGCTCACATTATTTTTTGGACAATAGCTAAAAATGCAATTTAAAAAAAAAAAATATTCAATATTCTTTCAGACTAGTGTTTTGGCTGGCTCTCTTTTATGCCAGCACACACACTGCCGTGGGAGGGAAGCAGCACCCCAGCAGCTCCCAAAAAGCGCTCCTGCCCCACGGGGCACCCCACGCTGGAGGAGGCACCTTGCCCCAAGGCTGGTGGCCGTGCTCCCAAACCCTCAAACCACCCTCCTCGCCCAAATCCCAGCCCGCCTGCTCTCCAGACAAACAAACCCAGCCCCAGGCAGGATGCCAGGGACATGCTGGGGGACCCTCACCGCTGCCACCGGGCAGGGGCCGGGGTGCCAGCCCAGCCACGGGCGCAGCGAGAGGCGAGCAGGGCAGAGCAGCAGAGGCAGGAGCAGGTTTAGTGGGGTTCCTGCTGCAGGGCTCTGCACTGTGCCCCGACGTGCCACCCCGGATCAGCTGGCAGGGGGATGCCCTCGCCCCCGCACAGGCTGCCCTACGTGCACACTGGCACAAACACCAGCCAGCTCCGCTCTGCCCCGCTCGCCTCCTCCTACCTGGAATTGGCACTCAAACCTTGGCGGGGGCCAGCGCCAGCCTCGCTCTGTCCCAGGACCCAACACAAAGGGGTTGGTGTGCCAACAGAGCCGAAAAGCCAAAGGAAACACCTCCTAATTCCACCCCTTCCAGGGCACCAGCTGGAGTGACGATGCCCCCAGGCTCACCACACAGCCCCTCACTCCTGCTCAGTGCTGGTCCTGGGGCCACGAGAATCCCCCCAAGGTGGGCCACACTGTGTGCCAGTTGCTGCCTGCCCCATGCCAAGGAGGAGCAGCTTCAGGGGCGCCTGCCTGCTCCCCACGGACCAGAGATGTCCCTTCTCCACGGAGGTTGCTCCCAGGGCCTGGCAGAGGCGGTGGGCAGGGGGAGGTGGTGGTACAGACCACCCGCAGCACTCTGTACCGGCTCCTCGCATCTGCTCTGGCCCCCATCCCGGGCTGTGTCCCCCGAGACCCGCAGCCGCCAGCCTGCCTTGGCCACACACAGCCCAGCTGGCCCGTGGCAAGCCACCAGCAGCCACAGAGCCGTCCAGGACCCCCCGCATGGCCCCAGCTTCCCAGGCACGCTGGGAGCAGAGTGCTCGGCTGAGCCTGGGGTGCCCAACAGCCACCTTGGTACTTGGGGGAACTTGGTGACTTCTCCTGGGTAACCAGTTTGAGCCCCATTCCCAGCCCCAGAAGGGAAAGTCCCTCCCTCAGGCAGCTGTGGGGCAGGAGGTGGCTGTGCCACCCTGCCCCAGGGGCTGCAGCAGGACTTAGTGCTTGGATGGCTCCTCTGTTGCTCTGTTTCCCCTCCACAAAGGAGGGGAGGCAGCAGAGCCACTCTGTCCACGGGTGCGGGGACACCACGCTTTGGGGTACTGGGCTCTGGCAGGAGCCAAAGACCCCTCCCTGGAAAAGCAGAAGGCATGGGATGGTGCTGGAGGGCACTGTGCCAGGCTGGTCTCACCCCAGCGCTCCAGTGGCATCACACACCCACCCGTTCCTACCTGGTCAAAGCTTGCTGTCACTTGCAGAAACCCAAGAGGAAAGCGCAGCCCTCTGCTTCCTCCAGAAACGCTGCAAACGAGCACCGTGGGCCAGAGAATCTGCCTGTGACCCCCCCCAGGCAGCAGCAGCTGCTGGGCTGGGCAGAGGGGGGCACTCACTGTGACACAGGCTATGAGTAGAGCCTCTGCGGAAAGTCACCGTCACTAAAACAACACCAGATGACAGACAGGAGGGACTCAGAGTTTAATTGGGTGCTTCCAGTTGTGCAACGTACAAAGGATGACCAAAAGGGAGGATACGGGCAATGACAAGGACGCTATTAAAAAAAATAGTCATGTAGATTTGAGAAAAATAAAAATTCAAGATTAACCCCAGCCCCGTACCATAAAAATCTTCTGCATGTACAATGACTATTACTATATACATGTTTAAAAATAAATCCCCACAGCCTGGAGTGCAAAGAGCAGCGCCATAGCTGTGCTTCGTGGCAGGGGAATCCATAAAGTGTTTGGTTTTTAAATTAAAAATATAAATAGAAGCATACAACATGCCAAGAACCGAGCGGGTTACATCCTCCTCCGCACAGGCCCAGAGCGAGCAGGATCAGCCCCTACCAGTTACAGCTATCAACCTTCATGTGTCCGAATCCCCAGCCCGCCAGGTGGGATGGGCAGCCCGGCTCGGGCACGGTGCCACCGCTACATCCCGTTCTTCACCAGCTCGTGGATCCCGTCCTCGTCGATAATCAAAGGTGCGCGAAACTCTCGGCCCTTCACGTACTTTTCCAGACCCTAAGGGAGGACAAAGCAGCTCGTTAGGAATGCACCACGCATCATCCGCTCTGCTGACCTGCTTGCAGGTGGCTCTGGTCCTCTCCCGTGATAACACCTTGGGGGACACTGCCTCAAAAAGCTCCACAGTGACTCCAAGTTTTCGTGGCTTACCCCCGCCAGCCTCCCCACCTGCCCAGTTAATCTGCCAGGCTGCTTGAGCTCCAGAGAGCCAGTACTTACTTCTCCTCCGTAGGAGACGAGGGGAGAAATTTCACACTGGATTGGCAGGTCATTTGCATCCTTCAAGCTGCAGAGAAAAATGAGAAGTCAGGAGAGTTAGCTCCATCCCACCAGGGGATGCGGACAGGGCCCAGAGATCCCGCAGACACCAGTGCAGGGGGTCAGTGGGCGTCAGGAGCACCGGTGGCTGCCGGCCCACGCAGACCCCACCAGCGCAGAGCTGCCCTGGGTTAGTCAAGCCTTGCGTGCTCTCCACGGAGGTGCGAGCTAAAGTTTAGACACCAGCAGCGACTGAAAGGGAAGAGAGGTTTAGATGCGGGCTTCAGGAGGATCTACACGCCTTTCCACATGTGCAACTACAGCAGCGCCTACGCCCCGGCCTGGACACACACTCCCACTATATCTGATGCTGCATGCAAGCTTGTCACCCCTTCCTCCTCCTCCTCTTCCTCCTGCATCCTTGAGGTCACTGAATTTCACTGAATTTTTAGAGTTGGAAGGGACCATAGAGATCATCTAGTCCAACTCCCCTGCTGAAGCAGGATTGCCTAGAGCTAGAGCATGTTACTCAGGACTGCATCCAGGCGGGTCTTGAAAATCTCCAAAGAAGGGGACTCCACAACCTCCCTGGCAGCCAGTTCCAGGGCTCTGTCACCCTCACTGTGAAGAAGTTTTTCCTCATATTTGAGTGGAACCTCTTATGTTCCAACTTGTGCCCATTGCCCCTCGTCCTCTCACTGGGAACCACCGAAAAGAGTCTGGCTCCCTCCTCCTTCAACCCTCCCTTGAGATACTTGTAGGCATTGATAAGGTCTCCCCTCAGCCTTCTCTTCTCCAGACTAAAGAGTCCCAGCTCTCTCAGCCTCTCCTCATAAGGGAGATGCTCCAGTCCTTGAATCATCTTCGTTGCCCTTCGCTGGACTCTTTCCAGTAGTTCCCTGTCCCTCTTGAACTGGGGAGCCCAGAACTGGACGCAATATTCCAGTTGTGGCCTCACCAGTGCAGAGTAGGGGAGGAGAATGACTTCCCTTGACCTGCTGGTCGTGAGAGATGCACTCACAGCACCCTCCTGTTTGGTTAGTCACAACAGGTCTTTTTGCAAACACACTCCTTGTTTAAAGCACAACCAGAGGACACAGGATAAGCCCCTGTCTGCTTGCTCAAAAAAACTCCTTGTGGCACTGCCTGCTCCTCCTGCCTTTGCCTCTTAGATCAGCTCCTCAGCTTCCCTGTTCTGCACACAAGCCTCAGCTGGAGAGGACAAGGGCAGATCCACACCAACACTGCCTGGCCCTGAGAACAGCCACAGCCGCACTGTTGGGCAGGGGTCCACCTGGGGTCCCTGACCCTGCTCCTGCTGCCACCAGCCTTTGTAGGACCCCCCTGGATCCAGCCAGTGTGTAAGCCCAGCCAGGGGGTGCATGGCAGCACCCCAGGGTCCCCTTTCACACCCACTGCCCACCACAGCCAGACAGGCACCGCGGGATGACATCTGTGACAACGCTCCCTTCGGCCAGCTCGAAGCTTGTCCCTGCTGCCACACGCTTGCTCAGCCCTCTCCTGTCCCAGCTGCGAGTAAATAAAACTCATCCACCCTAAGCCAGCCCTTGTACTTGAGTTTGCCTTAGAGTCCGATTCATTTCAAGAGAATACTTTATAAATAAATAAATAAATAAATAGCCATTAACTGGCAATGAGGGATAAATGTAGGATAAAGCGCATCCTTTGTCCTGCATTATCAGTAGCGTGATGGTCTAGTTATAAGCCTGA